CCGTCTTGGAGCTGTCGTGAGGTTCGGCGGCGAGCGAGGGGTGGAAGTGAGAAGGAGAAGGCCCTCTCAGAAAACCTCTCAGAAGGCCGGGGAACTTCCGAGCCTTTGAGAAGGCCCGGCCCTTATCACTTCCCCCTGGGCTCGCCGCCGAAAGGTTCCTTACGCTGTGTGAAGCCGCCATACCCCTGGAGCTGACCCGCCCTGCTTCGGCCACGTCGGTGGCCTTTTCGGTGGCCTTTCAGCCCGAAAACATCGGAGAGGCGTCAACGTAGCCCTCGAGGGCGCAAAGAGGTCACCACGATAGCGTCGCAGGGCGCCAGCGAGACGTCCCAGGCTGCCGACCAGGAACCCCCAAGATCGTCCAAACCACCCCAAAGTTCCAAGGTGGCCCCGATGTGCGTAAGATGGGCCAGCGCAAGGCCCCCGAGAGTCGAATCTTTTCGATGTTTTTTTGTGTTTTCGTGCGTGTTCGCGATTCTCCAACCTCTCAGCTCCATCCAGATGGTTCCAGGAGGGGCCCCAGATGTTCCCAACAGGACCCGGGAAGCCAATTAGAGCCCGCACTGGGGACCAAGACGCCCCCGAGATGGTCCAAACTTGCTTCCAAGCCTCCAACACGGCCCCGCCACGGCTCCGAGACGGTCCAAGACTGCCCCAAGGCAGCCCCCAAGTCCACCGCCCCCCAAAATGTCACACAGGCGCATCCCAAAACGTGCCATAAGGCTCCCAGGGGCCCTAAGATGGTTCCAAGGGGCTGACGAGAGTCCTTGTGGAGGCCAAGCGCGCCCCAAGAGGGCCACAAAACAGGACAGGCCGGCGACCTCGTGCCCTCAAGGGGAGGGCGCTTGCCGCCTGTTGTTCACAGTCAGTGTGTCTCGACAGGTTTCGATTCAGCCTTTTCCTGCCCCCCCTGACCTCTGGAGCCTTTTTTGGCCCGAGGTACTTTTTTATAACTGGGCGTTAACAGCTCCCACCACCTTCCCAATCAATCCGAACTCCCTTCTTCAACCAAGAAACAATGGCGCACTCCAGCATCGCCGCGTTCGTGGCCGCCTTCGTCGCTGGACTGGTGGTCTGCCAGCTGGGCAATGCCTTCGTGGCGGCGCCTCTCGGCCAGCGTGGGCTTGATGGCCACACGGAGCCGACCACGGTGTCCGCGGCGCCTGGCGCGGCGCCCGCGTCTCAGTCGGTGGCGCCCGTCGGAGTCGGCCTGACAATGATCGGGGCGTCCGTGGCCCTCGCCCTGCTCACCAGGGGTGCGCTGTCCAACGCCGCCAGGAAGGCGCGACCGCAGGGTCCCGCGCAGCACAGAGTAGTGATGGCGGCTTTCGAGAGCGAGCTGGGCGTGCAGGACCCCGTGGGCTTTTGGGACCCTGCTGGGTTCACAGCGGATGGTAGCACGGCGAATTTCGCCAGGAGGCGCCAGACAGAGCTCAAGCACGGCCGCGTGAGCATGCTGGCGACGATGGGTTACATCACGCCCGAGATCACCGGCAAGCTGCCCGGCTACTTGTCGCCTTCGGGCTGGCCTGAAGTTCGCGGACATCCCGAACGGGCTCGGCGCCGATCTCCAAGGTTCCCGCGGCGGCTGGCGCAGATCGTGCTCGGCTCTTTCTGCGACTGTCCAGTCCAGTCGCTGGCACCCGCTGCCAGCCGCAGGCACTCGGCTTCAAGGTGCTGAAGTCCAATGATGCCGGGGGAAGCAGAAGAATTTGGCGGCAGCGATCGCCAACGGTCGCCTTGCTATGATGGCAATCATCGGAATGTTCTTCCAGGACGGCTTGACCGGCTCCCGCGTGGGGGGTGCGACTGGGCGCTCTGCGCGCTGGATTCCCCGCTGCGCGCGTTTGCTGTCTAGTCGTGGGCTGCAGACCCCGTGGGCTTTTTGTGACCCTGCTGGGATCACAGCGGATGGTAGCAAGGCGAATTTCGCCAGAGTCGCCAGACAGAGCTGAAGCACGGCCGCGTGAGCATGCTGGCGACCATGGGCTACATCACGCCCGAAATCACCGGCAAGCTGCCAGGCTACCTGTCGCCTTCGGCTGGCCTGAAGTTCGCGGACATCCCGAACGGGCTCGGCGCGATCTCCAAGGTTCCCGCAGCGGGCTGGGCGCAGATCGTGGCGTACGGCGCGTTCTGCGAGCTGTCCCAGGACCAATCCGCTGGAACCGCTGCCGCGGCCGGCAACTTCGGCTTCAAGGTGCTTACGTCCAGCAACCCCGCGGAGAAGCAGAAGAAGCTTGCGGCGGAGATCGCGAACGGTCGCCTTGCCATGATGGCCATCATCGGCATGTTCTTCCAGGACGGTCTGACTGGCTCCGCCTGGGGCGACTGGGCGCTCTACACGGGATCCCCTCTGCGCGCGTTCGAGAGCGAGCTAGGCGTTCAGGACCCGGTGGGCTTCTGGGACCCTGCTGGGTTCACGGCGGATGGTAGCACGGCGAACTTCGCCAGGAGGCGCCAGACAGAGCTGAAGCACGGCCGCGTGAGCATGCTGGCGACCATGGGCTACATCACGCCCGAAATCACCGGCAAGCTGCCAGGCTACCTGTCGCCTTCGGCTGGCCTGAAGTTCGCGGACATCCCGAACGGGCTCGGTGCGATCTCCAAGGTTCCCGCGGCGGGCTGGGCGAGTCGTGGCGTACGGCGCGTTCTGCGAGCTGCCAGGACCAGTCGCGGGACCCCTGCGCGGCGGCGTACTCGGCTCAAGGTGGCTTACGTCCAGCGACCCCGCGGAAGACGCAGAAGAAGCTTGCGGCGGAGATCGCGAACGGTCGCCTGGCCATGATGGCATCCTCGGCATGTTCTTCCAGGACGGTCTGACGGGCTCCCGTCCCTGGGGCGGACTGGGGCGCCTACACGGGATCCCCTCTGCGCGCGGTCGAGAGCGAGTGGCGTCAGGACCCGGTGGGCTTCTGGGACCCTGCTGGGTTCACGGCGGATGGTAGCACGGCGAACTTCGCCAGGAGGCGCCAGACAGAGCTGAAGCACGGCCGCGTGAGCATGCTGGCGACCATGGGCTACATCACGCCGGAAATCACCGGCAAGCTGCCAGGCTACCTGTCGCCTTCGGCTGGCCTGAAGTTCGCGGACATCCCGAACGGGCTCGGCGCGATCTCCAAGGTTCCCGCGGCGGGCTGGGCGCAGATCGTGGCGTACGGCGCGTTCTGCGAGCTGTCCCAGGACCAGTCTGCTGGCACCGCTGCCGCGGCCGGCGACTTCGGCTTCAAGGTGCTTACGTCCAGCGACCCCGCGGAGAAGCAGAAGAAGCTTTCGGCGGAGATCGCGAACGGTCGCCTGGCCATGATGGCCATCATCGGCATGTTCTTCCAGGACGGTCTGACTGGCTCCGCCTGGGGCGACTGGGCGCTCTACACGGGATCCCCTCTGCGCGCGTTCGAGAGCGAGCTTGGCGTTCAGGCCCCGGTTGGATTCTTTGACCCGCTGGGGCTGACCAAGGACGGCGACACCACCACGTTCCTGCGCCGCCGCAATACCGAGATCAAGCACGGGCGCGGAGGAGCAGTAAAAGGGGGTGGGTGAAGATTCAGAGGGTGATGGTGATGGTGTTTCTGATGAGGATGAGAACAATGACCAGGCAGGCCCCGGATGTGAGCGCACAAGTCGGCCTTCAAGAGGGCCCCCAGCTCCCCAGCTTGTCAGAAGCCCTGTCGCGTCCCAAGAAGCTGCGTAGAAGGGGCTGGCCCCTCCCCAGTTCTAAGAAGCCTGCTGCCTCCATAGAAATGTTTACGCTTCGCACACCCCCTCCAGCTTATTCAGAAACGGTACCCAGAAATTACATGCGTTACATGACAGACGACTCGCGAGCAGGCCGAGCATTCCTGAAAGTGGATTCTAGATGACATTGTTTTATCAAAGGATTGGGAGCTTAAAGGAGGAGGATGACGAATCAACCATGAAGGCTGTTGCGACTGCGGAGCTTCTGCTCTGGGAGCCTCTTGGAGGTTTCTTGAAGGCCTCCTAGAGCCCTCTCGCAGCAATTTTGGGAGCGTTTGGGGCTCTCTTGGGGCCTTCTCGGGTCCCTCGTCGGAGCCTTGGGAGCCTTCTTGGGCCCATCTTAGAGGACATCGATCAAAGAGAGCGGGGGCTTCTCGGAGGACATCGATCAAAGAGGGGGTATTCTTGAAGATGTTCCCGGAAAGCCAACGTCCTTCAAAACCATTTGTTTCTGAATGTTTTGGCCGATCGGAGAGAGGGGTGGCCCTGGATTAGCCCTGTCTCTGTGTGTGGACCCCCTAAAATCGCCATTTGGGGCGCTCACTCGGACCCGTCTTGGAGCGGTCTTGGAGCCTCTCGGAGCATGCTGGAAGCTATCATCGTGAGCCAGCCGTCTCGGGCTCTCTTGAACCATCTCGGAGGCCATCCTTGCCATTCTCAGGCCCTCTCAGAGCCATCTTGGATGCTCCAACGCCTCCTAGGGCGGCCCGTCCAGACCCGGCCCTCCCCGAAGGGGAAGAGGGAGGTCGGAAGACGAGACGCCCGAATCCACCTACGCCCTCAAGGGCTGGTGGGATTGCCGCCCTGCCTGCTGAGAGAGGTTCGTGCCCTTCCCTCGTCTCGCGCAGGCGCGTCGCCATGTGGGCCTGCATTGGGTACATCGTGCCCGAGTACTTCCGGTGGCCGGGCTTCTGCTCGCCGTCGGCTGGTGTCTCCTTCGCAGACGTGCCGAACGGCCTGGCGGCACTGTCCAAGGTGCCCACGGCAGGCTGGGCCCAGGGCATGCTCCCCCTGCGGTGATTTGGGGGGAGGAGGGGGACTTCGTTTTTTTGTTCTTGTTTATTTTTCTGTTCAGTGCAATGCTTTCGGAGGTGTTCCCAGAGGCTCTTTTTTGGGAGGTCTCGAGGGGGAGGGCGGAGGGGGAGCAGCCCTCTCAAAGGTGCCTGCCTTCGGCTGGTGCCAGATCATCGCCTTCTGCGGTTCCTTGGAGAAGAACGTGTTCGTGTACGACCCCCGCCGTGGCCCCGGCGACTTCGACACCG